CCTCTGTGATGACGAGGACATTAAGAGGCAGTGTGGTAAGCTGTACATGCAGGCTAACACTCTGGCACGTAACTTTGGCATGTGCTCAGATCCTGTTAAAGTGTCCCTCTTTCGTTCCTTTTGTACTCCTCTCTATACAGCCCACTTGTGGTGCAACTATAGTAAGGTAGTAATGAAGAAGCTTCAAGTGGCTTATCAGGATGCTTTTAGAATCCTCATGAAGCTGGACTTCGGCAAGTCACATGTTTGTTACGAGTAACATCCCAACTTTTCATGCGCTTCTGAGGCTCTTCATGTACAAATTCATCTGCCGACTGAGTTTGTCAGCTAACGCGGTTGTTAGAGCTCTGTCATCTTTATCTTACAGTGACACGAGGTACTCCTCAGTCCTTTTTAAACATTGGAGCAACTGCCTATACGGTTTGTAATTAGAATGTGTTTGTATTTTATTTTTTTTATTTATTTTTTATTTTTTTATTCTTGTTATGGACATATCCCTTGTCTGAAATAAAGTTTGATTGATTGATTGATTGATTTTAATCTGTAATGTGTAGACATTTGCACATTGAGGGGACATGCTGTGTGTGTGTGTGTGTGTGTGTGTGTGTGTGTGTGTGTGTGTGTGTGTGTGTGTGTGTGTGTGTGTGTGTGTGTGCTTGTTTGGCAACTAACCTAATAAACTTCAAACACATTTTGATGAAGGACTAATATCTCCAGGCTGACCAGGGAGTCCCACTGGTGGGGCTGGTGGAGGCTGCTCGGGAGAGAAGCCTCTTTTCTGGAGCTGTTATCCCTCTCAACATGTACCTGAAGCTGACAAAAACAAATGGATGGAGTAAACTAAATTCAAGTCTACCCTCACAAAAAATATCTATTTTACTAGTACTGTAGTACCTTGTCTGTTTCTCAGTAAAATATTTCTGAACCACTAAATAGATCAAATGATACTCTCTCAAAGTAATGTCCATCTACAACTGAATAACATTTGGAGTCAATCTAATTCATGATGGCTGGCACATACACTCTAAAGAAAATCCTAGAGCACAGGAATGACCACATAAATCACCTTGATCACTTACTCTGATCACTACACAAAGTCTTCTTTGCCTAAAACATGTCCAACAACTATCAGAACCAATGATGTCCATTATCTCATGACTCATTTTGGTGCCATCTTTACTTCAGTCATTTTATAGATTCTAAGCTAAGGTCATGCAGGTGAGTCATTCACAACACATACTTTGAGTAATTAGAGATTGTGCATGGTGCTTTAGATGTGACCATAATAGACCTATTGATTTGTGATTTGTAATTTACCACACTTTTCACATGTTTTAACAAAAAAGCCCTTGACTGCCTTCAGATGGTCCAGAACTCTGCAGCGAGGCTCCTAACTGGAGCAAACAGAAGAGCTCACATCACTCTCATTCGAATGTCTCTGCACTGGTTACCCGTTAACTTTAGAGTTCATTTTAGAATCCTGTCTATAACTTTCAGGACTCTACGTGGTCAAGCTCCTCCCTATACTTCTGAACTGTTAAAGCCTTATGCTCCAACCCGAGCCCTCAGGTCCACACACCAGAACCTTCTAGAAATTCAAAAGACCAGATATAAAGGTCGAGGTGATCGATCCTTCCAGACTGTTGCACCCTGACTTTGGAATGGTCTTCCTTTATCCTTACGCAGCGTTGACAGTCTGGATGAAATTTTATAATTTTATGACTTTATTTTTTCTGATGTTAATCTTTTCTGTTTTGAGATCATTATGATTTTACGACTTTATATTTTATTTTGTTTTGATCTGAAGCTTTTTGTGATTCTATGTCTTTGATAAGTGCTGTATAAATAAAATGCACTTAACGTTTTGAAAGGTGAAAGGTACATTTGTTTTGCTTGGTTGTAACTCAGAATCTGCAAATCAGAAAGATTTTCTGATAAAATGTTTATTACAGTTGTAACAAGAATTTCATTGCATTTGGCACTCAGCCCTTTCAAACCGCTGACGCTTCAATCACTCCAACCCCTCAGGGACGGAAAAAACGTAATGATGGTGAAGCAAGAAGAAACAGGTGTTCATCATGCCGTGTGTCTCTTTGAAGGTGCTGAGAGTTACAGAAACTGTGAATCACTGCTAATTGTTGGGAATTACAGTTTGTGGGGAGCAAAATGAACTCATTCCGGTGGAGCTTGATCCAAGGCAAGAACACGTTGTAAGGTTAGAGATGGCTCAAATTATGGAGTGAAAGACATGTTCCTGGATTCTTATTGAATGGCTTACTGGAAAAGATGCATTAGTATAAAAATGTCTTTATTGTGATGAGAGAAACACCTCTAAAAGGATTCTTTTAATTTACTGAAGTGAATTTTTATTTTTATTTTTTTACCTACCAAACAGAAAATAAAATGAGTGACCAATGTATGTAAGTTAGATGGTTGTAGGGATTAACTTTAACTTTCCTGAAACCTTTGACCTGTCTGAAGTGAATATTGTGCTGTTGCCTGCATACCTGACTCCACACCTTCATGCATCCTACATCCTATCTATAGTATTCGGTGGCGGTCAGCGTAATAGTTTGTATTACATAAAGCAATAAAATCCATAACACTAAATATAATCATTGCACACAATACAAATGTATTGGCTAGGCATTTCATTTCTATTGTTATCATAGTCCACTCCAGTCTAAATGCTATTTATCATCCATTACTCACTGAATATTAGAACTGGCTCTCAGTATCAAACCAGCTTAGATCAGACTAATAAAGGTCATTTTTACTCTCTGACAGGCAAAAACCAATAAGCAGAATGAATATAGCAAATGTCAGCAGGGACACATCTGACTGTTCATGACTCTGGAATCTTCCTTTGCGTTATTTCAGGAACTTAATATTCTGCAGTTTTAAGACATTTCTGAAAATTGTCATCCATGTTTCTGGATTTTTTTTTCTCTCTAGAAACAAAATTTAGTTTAAATCTGATTTGAACCTGCGGATGCTGCTTGTGAGTGGACTCCTCTGTTGAGCACAGAGATGGTACCCCTTCCACACAGCAAAGTCAACATGCTCATATTACTGTCAAAGTTGAATTCAACACTTTTAAAGTGTTTATGGGTCCACACGAGTAAGAGTTCATTTAACTCTCTTTGGAGAGTCGGTACTTTAGATCTGATTTAGTGTTAAATTGTCAACTCTTCTGAAGCTGACCATTTAACACTGGTGTTAGAGTTAAAATAGTAACTCTAACACCAGTGTTAAATTCTTCTTCTTTCTCTGCAGCCAGTAGGTCACCACCAAATATTTTTATATAAATGTCTATGGTCACCAGTCCAACTTCTGGAATAAAGGGGTGAAGTCTCTGCAGGTGTAATAGCCAATGTGGGAGTTCAGAGTTAGCTTTTCGGGAGTTATTTAGTCCAAATTGACACCTACAGAGTTGATTAGGAAACACTCATTTTTAACCCTCGGTTTTAACTCTCATGACACTTTCATAGTGTTAAATGAACTTTTCTTAGTATTACAGTTTTTTACAGACGTTAGGACCCATTTCTCAATACTAATGTCACTTTTGCCAGACACTTCACACAGTCCTCCTAACTGAGTTTCAGCTTGGCAAAACAGTTCATTTCACATTCAAAATGCACTACAACCACCAAAACACTTCATTCAGGTCTCAAATAAACACACTCCTCCAGAACACTAGCAAAGGTTGACAGCCGACAAACACACTTTGTCGCCCACAAAAAAAAGACCTAAAAAACACTAACAACATGTAGCATTACATTTTCTTGTGTAAAACAAGGATACATCTCTGTTCATACTTCCAATAGATGTTACTGGAATGAATCAGACATGATGCAGAATGAGTCAATATTTCATGTTGTTCATTTATTTTTAATGGTATTTGTTTTTTCACTAAGTACAAAACACAAGACTTTGTAAACACAACATCCACTGATACAGATTCAATATGCTAATCTACTCGGTCTTCTCCATTTGGCCACAGGTTCTCATCCACATCACATCTTATGTCATCTAGGGCAACACACCTAGGAAAGAATCTCCTGGCACGCCCTGGCAATCTACTGCTGATATGTCCAGGCATCCAGCATACATTGCATCCAGAAGGGACATTTGATCATGTGGATGATGGTCGTACACCTTCCACCGCCATGAGGCAAAGAATTCCTCTATGGGGTTGAGGAATGGAGAGTAAGGTGGGAGGAAAAGTGACCCCATTTCTGGCTGGGTCAATGTTTACATCACAACACAAACCTATTCAGCAGTTGACTACTTTTATAATGACATTGAAAGTGTAACACCTGTGCAGCTGTTCATCTACAATTAGAGTCAGCTGTGGCTGGATAAATTGCATTTATGTTTCAATAACATATTGCTGTTGGATTCTGCTGTCATATTCAGTTTTGCAGTATGTTATTGTTTTGAACATAAGTTTTACAGTTTTGTGGACAGTATGTGAGCAAGTGCAAAATGTCCTGTTAGTACAATGAGTTTTGGTAGTTGTTGTGTCTGAGTGAGAAGAGACTTCATGACATTTGAGAGATGTAGTCACTCAATGCATTTTGTGCCAAAGCAATGATAACTGATCCTCAGTTTGGCCCACATAGACTTCTGTTGTGCACACTCTATGTAGAGTTTTGCAAATGTGACCTAAGTATTGAAAAATGGGTCCTGACTTCTGTAAAAACTGTAATTAAACTCAACATTTGCTTAACACCACAAAATTAACACTTTTAAATTTGCTGTGCACTTGTTACAGTTTCATTTTGTAGCAAGAAAGGTGACGTATGTTGTGGCATGGAGCTGCATGAGTATGACTGAATAGAATTGAATGTAGGTTAAATACATGTCTTGTGATATTAATGATTCAGTCACATTATCATGCTAGGTGACACTGTGTGTGTGTGTGTGTGTGTGTGTGTGTGTGTGTGTGTGTGTGTGTGTGTGTGTGTGTGTGTGTGTATATGTGTGTGTAATGTCTTATAAATAGAAAGTACCCTTTAACACATAACCTCGTCTATGTATTTAGGGAAGTGAAAGAATGTGCTTGAGTAACAGTTTCCTAGTTTCAGGAACGTCACTTAAAAGAATGGAAGTGTGTGACTCGTGATGTTCACATTTGAGGCTGAAGGTCTACAAGAACATTATTTACTGGGAGAGCTCAACCATAAGGAGGATATCTTTGCCCTCTTCATGTTATGGAGGTTATTTGTGGTCTTGTTCTTTTGTTGGGATCCATCTCAGTGGTGAGCAGCAACTCTTGTGATGTCTACGCTGCTGTTGGGCAAAGTGTGACTCTACCTTCTGTCCATGATCAACCAGGAAACTCGTATTCACTGCAATGGACTCACAACAAGAAGGTCGTTTTCTCAAGACAGCAAAGCAAGGTGTTGGTTGGAAAAGCAGGAGACATCTCTGAGTATGGAGCTCTTTTACTGAAGAACCTTCAGGCTGCTGGTGCGGGGGTTTACGAAGCAAGCACCCAGACCCCCAACGGCACTCGAACGCATCATCTCTGTGTGATGGAAAAGGTGTCAAAACCTCAACTCAGTTATGTCTGTGAATCCAATGCTGTTAATCTAAAATGTGATGCAGCCAAACATCAGGATTTGGCTTTCTCATGGACGCAAGACAAGAAAGCAATTCCGAGTGAAACAAGACAAACACTGAGCATATCCCTGACTGAACTGAAGGAACAGACAAGCTTTTCTTGTAGTGTCTACAATAAAGTCAGCAAAGAGGTCAGCCAGACTCTTAAACCAACATGTAAATCACCTTTGCTTTGTTTTAGAATGCAAACCGTTGTGGCGGTGCTGGCAGGAGCTTCAGGTTTGATTCTTCTTTTGTTCATCACTGTTGTCGTATTATGCTGCTTCAGAAGACGCAGCAAAACAGAAATGAGGTTCAGAGACAAAGAGGAATCACGGATGCTTTCTTTGAAAAAGCGAGAGCCGGAGGCCATGAGCCCTGATTACGAGACCATGCACAGCATACCAAACTCTCCATCCTCCACTCCTAAGCCTTCACCGAGAGCCTGCTACCAGAAAGTCTCCCCTTCTGATGCTCAGACTGAAAGCAGGCCTCTGCAGCTTCCCACAGCTGCTGAAGGTCAGCAGTCATCACCGGTGCCGAAGCCAAGGACGAAGAATGCTCAAACACTAAACATCTGAGTGTTCTTACCACAACAGGCCTGCTGCAGAGGAAGTGAGAATGCTCTCAGTGTGACAAAATGCAAGAGGAATTTATGAAAACCACATAATGAAAAAGTGTGATTTAGTAGAACTTGCAATATTTGGTAACATTGACAGTACTGGTCAGTATTGGCCCTAAGGGTGGGCTGTGTTAGTTTGTCTTTTACCCTTTTGTGTCTTTTGTATTAAACACCTGAGTTTTCCTATCCATACTGAGTGTACTTTAATCAATTTTTATTTTGTGCAAAGCCTAAAAAAGCCAGAGAACTCTGTCTTTGTCTGACTATTTGTTCTATTCACTTTAACTACGAACAAAGGAATATTCGCTTTTTTTGGTTTTTAAAGGAGGTTTTATGACTTCTAAATCTTCTTTTCATATTTTGCAACTTTTTTCTTACTCCTAATTATTTTTAAATGAAACCATTTTAAATGTTGCCCAAAAGACCAAAAGCATATCTTTTATGGAATTGATTGTGTTTAAAATCCTTTCATGAGTTTCTTGACACTAAGGAACACCACACATTTATTGGCTTGTCAAAAACCACCAGTCTTGTTGACAAGCTTTTTAAAAGAAATAGCTGCACATGATTTTTCTTTGGTTCTAGCTCTCCGACACATCTGTCAGGACAGGCAGATGGTCCAATTTCTTGGCCATCTCAAAGGGTGTTCCCCAAAGTGCAGTCCTTGGTCCAGATTTTTATCACTATTGATCTAGTACAAAACATCTTGGGTAGCAATCTTCAGTCCGTTATTGCTCTGGTTCTATGCAAAAGGATGCATCAAATAAGCTTTATAATACCCCCCTATGGTTAAACATTCACTCGGTGACCTATAACCAGATTAAAATGGAAACAAAACAAAAGTTGACAAATGAAGAAAGAATCATTGGAAGACTGTCTATTCATTCATAACAAAGTTTAGATTGCATTTTCTAATTGTTTTGGGCTGAATCTGGCATTTTATGATTTGTAGAGTCAACACAGTGATGGTTTTTGTTCAGGCAGTCCCCCAGAAGTCAACAAAATACAACATTTAAGTACATTTTTTTAACCTCAGTGTCAAATCTACAATATTTAAAAGAAACAGCGCTTACTCAAAAACATCTCATAGGTGTAGATGTTTACAGCCTTTTCCATTCTGAGAAATTATTCATTCTGACTCATTTCTGCTTTTGTAAACATTTAGTGACAAAAGCTGAATTTTCTGTTCTCTCTAAAGATACGTCCTACAATATTCTCTGACAACATGTCAACCAACATTTGAAAAGTTCATTTGCAAAATATGTTTTAAACGCCAACAGTGAAGATCACCCAACTTTATTTTGTCAGACATCTCCTGAAGTGAATGGATGAACTTGAAGTAAACTTTTTGTCATGTGAACTCTTAGTTTGCCCATTTTGTGTTTAGTATAAAACAAATCTTTAAATTTATCTTGCAGAAGAACAGTTAAATACACCAAGCAACTCACTGTAAATCTGCAGTCTCCTGCAGAAAGTTTGCTCGCTTGCAAGAAGTTATTTAAAGAAAGAAAAAAATCAATAGAGAAATGGATTATGTAAGACAAACATCGGTAATCTCCACAGGGTGAACAATAATCCACACATAAAAGTGTCTTCTGAGTCATCCTAATGCTGTGTGACAGCCACATAATGGGATCGCTCTGGGTGTCAGCACCCAAAACTGACAAACCAATGTTAACTTTTGTGAGGGCCTGCTGAAATGTTTTAGTCCAGCCAGCAGGGATTTGGGAATGAAACAGGAATCCTGCTCCTGGAATGATGCTCCAATTTTCTCAGTCTGTTTTTCTCTAGAAGTAGAATGACAGCTTGCAGCATCTCTGCCATCATCACACTGTATCTTCACACACAGCTCACACAAACATACAGGATAAAAAATGTAGTTTTACAACCGGCTGGAACACAATGTGCATGCCAATGCCAAATCTACTTGGGAAATAGCAGGAACAATGTTCAGATGTGTTTAATATGTTAGAGTCTAAAGGATATATGCTTTTGATGTTGCTGTGTGTGTGTGTGTGTGTGTGTGTGTGTGTGTGTGTGTGTGTGTGTGTGTGTGTGTGTGTGTGTGTGTGTGTGTGTGTGTGTCCAGGAAAGAGCTAAATTACCCATGGAAAGTATTTCTACTCATGTCCGATCATTCCTATTTAAGTTCTCTTCATGTCCGCCGCTGCCAAGTCTGAGGGGGAAGTACAAATCAGAACATCAGAGGTCGTTCTGCCGGCGCAGTGGCCTTTTCTCATCTGATATGTCCAAAAACAGAAATCATTAGGACCTATTAGCATTCTGAAGCAGACCTGGCATTTTTTGACCCTGACCACTTTTTGAAGCTTGTTTCAGACAGTCTATCGAGTTAGCTGAAGCCACGATCTTTCAATCAGGGTTTGATTAATAGGAAAAGCAGCCTCGTCAATTACTCCTGAAGGCCAGTGACTTAACGAATTTAAGTGTATCGTTGTTTATAGAAACTGCCTTTAAAAGTTGTTCTGAGTGGGTGGTACATGAAAATTCTCCCACAGGTCAATTCAATGTTATCAAATGTCTCTTTGAGCATCATGATTAAACTTATCAGTTGTTAGATTTTTCTGCTCCATCTGTGCACTGCAAATTTTTATAAAACACATATTAACACTGCATGCATTGTGGACTTTGATCATGCAGACTGCAGGCATCTGGAACTCAGGAATTTAACAATGAATTGCATTGCTCTAATTATAACTCTAGCAATGAAAAAAAATTATGCATTTGTATTTGGAAGAGGAATTTCTGAGCTCCAAGTCCAAACAGTTACTAAAAGTTGGAATTTTGACTATAAAAGTGTCAAGGTCACTCTGATCTCAGTCTCCAGTAAGGTGAAAGTTCTAGTTTAAATTTAGCAAATGTCATAGTTTAGCTTTATATGTAATTAAATGGTAAATAGCCTGTATTTGCTATAAAGACATGTGGGGTACAACCCCCCATGGTGCTTTACAACACAACCAATCATTCACCCACAAATACACACATTCACACACTGGTGTTGATGAGCTACAATGTAGCCACAGCTGCCCTGAGGTGCACTGATGGAAGCAAGGCTGCCAAACACTGGTGCCACTAGGTCTGCTACAGTCTAAATGGGGCTCAAACCTGCAACCCTCTGAGTACAGGTGGACACTCAGCAACGGTATTCCTTTTGGACTAAAGTGAACTTTCAAAACCTTAAATGCAACTTTCAGAGGTAAGGTACCTTGGTCTGGCAGCATGTAGAACAGGCATTGTCCCTTTCAAGTGTGTGCAGACGTAGTGCTTTTTTGCCTCTCCCCATACCAGACGTTTCCCAACGCATCAAGAACCAGTAAGTAATTCCAAAACATTAGTTCCTTGTATCCAGTGGCGTAGCAGGAAAACCCAGAGATGGCAATCCTAAACCTTAAATATGATAGTGTAGCGTGGGTACTGCTACAGATTCTCAGTGAAGCACCTGTGCCAGAGA